CCCTATTTTGTGTGCGCGTGTGTGTGTGCGCCTTTGACTCAGTGTTGACTCCTGATGACTGCCTAGATTAGTCCCTGCGGTTTTCTTGGCAAGATTTCGGAAGCGGCTTGCCATTCTGCTTCCTCGGGCTGAGAGAGAAGGTCCGGCCCAAGGTCGCCCAGCTGGCTTTGCGCCCAAGGCAGGACTAGAACTCGTGGTCTGCCAGTTTCTAGCCTGGTGCCTTAACCACAACATCCAACTGCCTCTCGGCTATTTATTTGCAGGACTTAAACTCCATTCCGATCAGAACCAACTTTGAATGGCTTGCTTACTCTATGTATGTAAAGAGGGTTAAAAAGTACAAAATCTAAACCAGAAATAGCAATGTAGTATACCATACAATGCCAGAGATAATAAAACTCTACTTTCATTAAACTCCAGATTATGGGAGGGAGCGACGTTCCCAACCCCAAAACCTGTTGAAAAAGCAAGTTTTAACTGGCCTTTTTCAGAGCTAGCAGGTCAGGCTCTATCCAGGTCACGGGGGGGAGCAATTGAAGATGCACCCCCCAGGCCTCTGAAGATGGCAATCTCTGAGCAAAGGGATCAAGAGAGTCCCTTGTAACAGATCTTTTGGATGGGCAGAATCAATTTAGGAGAAAGCAAAGCTGAAGATCTCCAGGTCCTACGCTATAAAGGGCTTTCAATGTGGCAATGCTGTGGACCTTTGCAGTTTTTCCATAGCTACCAAACCATGTATTTAATGGAACATATTTAATGCAGTATTTTTATTTTGCTCCAGTATTTCAGCAGCGCCGTCCACCAGGGGCTTGGACAGCTGCAGGAAGAGGCTGGAGACCTGTTTGTGGAGATCCGTGGCGGAACTGAGAAAAGCTCAAGGCTTTAATTTCCTCTAAAGGAACTTGGTATTCTTCTACAGGGAGGGAGCCTTGGGCTAAGCGCAGAGTTCCTCATAACTGCAACGATAGGCTTAATTTGCTGTCTGCAGTGGTGTTTTTCCAGCTGGGCTCGATTGAAAATCTTGTGGGACGAGGGACGTGGCTTTTTAAATAAGCCCCCCCCCCCGGAAAGCAACTGGACAAGGACCTCAGCTGAACTGGAGTCAGCTGGGATTCCAGGCTGTTCTGGACTCTGATGACATCACAACCTTTGCTGTGGCAAACTTTGGGGAAATCACCAGCTGGACCCAGGAAAAGATGGAGGAAAGTCTGGACCCTGATCTTCTGGCTTCTCTTTGGCCTCTGAGCCACTAAGATGCAGGCATGTTCATACACACACAACCCATATACTCTGCACCATAGTTGAAGGAAAGGTGCAATTGCTTATGAAGATTCAGCATCTCCTTTGCATGAAGAAGTCTTCCAATCTACTCTCTGGTGTTGCCTAACCGGGAAAGAGCCCTGCTTAGGATACAGGCTGGTCATACTAGCTGAGGATTGTGGGTGTTGCGGTTCCAACCCATCCAGATGACCTTAGTGGGGGAGAAGACTGGAGAAGACAATAGAGAGCTGAAAAAGGAGTTTGTCCCTCCTAACTGGCTCCTTTGGGCACCATCCATGGTTGGAATCCCATAATTGTCCAACTAGGATCTGTTACAAGGAGCTTGAAGGAGATGTCTCTAGGAGGTGTGGACTAATTGGGACAGCTGGGTCTTCACAAAACACTAAATCTGGATTAAGGAAATACCATTACTTGGTTCATATAGGGCAACACTTCAGACCATCATATGGCTTGGTTGACACAACAGATTGCACTCAAAGGCAGCCAGCCCCATTTTAGCTGAGTCGAGGTGTCATGTTGGGAAAGATGGGAGGAAAGAAAAGAAGAGGATGACCAGCAATAAGATGGATGGACTCAGTTACAGTCGTGATGGCACTGTTGGAAGACCTGAAGGACCAGGTTAGGGACTGATCATCATGGAGAAAATCTATATGGTCACTAAGAGTTGACACTGACTTGAAGGCAGATGATCAATGAGTCAGTGTGAAGACCCAGCTTCTTTGAGAAGTTCATGATGTTGAGAAGAGTGGAAGGAAAGAGAAGGATGACCAGGAGCAAGGTGGATGGACTCAGTTACAGTGGCGATGGGGGCACCGTTGGAAGACCTGAAGGTCCAGATCATCATGGAGAAAATCTATCTTTGTGGTCGCTAAGAGTCAACAATGACTTGATAGCATATAATCAAAATCAGGTGTCATGTGAACTCAGATGGTGGCTTTACTGTAGTTCTTTAGGGTGTTTCCATCCAGGTGGGCTGAAAAGGCTTCTGTTTCCCTACAACTTGGATTTCACTTCTGGAAAAGAAAGCAGTAAAAGACAACAGCCAGGAGAATGGACAGTCTGCACAAGTTAATGCTACCAGCCTTGAGATAATGCTTCTTCAAGCCCAAAGTGAGGGCTGAAGGAGACTGTAGTGGACCTAGGGCTATGAAATCCAGGCTGCAGAAATCTTGATGTGCTGTGGATGGCAATAAACCTGCTGGTTACCACCATCTTTGGACACCAGGAGCTTTGCTGCCCAAATTAGGGAGCTGTAGGTACAGTATACCAAGGACTACAGGACTGGGAAGGCCACTGGGGAAGGGAGCCAGGATGTGTGAAGATGTCTGTCTTTGTGAGCAAGACGTAAGGAAGACCTGCCGTTTTGCTTGTACTGCAGTTAATATCAGATGGGCTGGATCAAAACTAACTGGGTATATTCACACAATACACTTAGCCAAATCACTTAGACTTGCTAGTTGCATGACACAACGTGGCTACGTTGGTTAGTCTTCACCTTGCTGAGCCAGGATTTTTTGTGACTTAGCATGTGGTGCAAATCAAGCCTGTTTAGTTAGTTTATGATTCAGTGTATTGCATGAACCCAGGCAAACATTCAATAGCTAGGTTAAGTACATTGTGTGTATACAACCTGTTAATTGTATGGATTGTTTGCATTATCATTGGAATTTCTTAGGCTGAATTGTCCTGTGCACACCAATTGGCTCTTGGTCTTCTAACACGGTTTTGCTTGATACAAATAAAATATATTGGTATTTATGGGGAAGAAGCTTGGCTTCATATCTTCATCAGTTGCGAAACCCATGAGTGATGTGGGACTGGCCAGTCTTTCCCAGGCCAATGGGAAACCCATTTTGGGTTTGCAGAATCCAGGGCTTGCAGCCAAGATGAAGTCACGACTCCTTCAAGCTGAGCTTCGCTGTGGTAAAGGACACATCTCTGGTTGAGGGACACATCTGTGATGCTTTCTTAGCAGCCCTTCAGAAGTGGTTTGCCACTGCCTTTTTCCAAGATATTTCTTTTCTTCTCCCCAGCCTAGCCTGCAGCTGTAGACTTCCTTGGTCACCCCCCATCTGAGTACTAACCAGATTTGATCCCACTTAGCTTTTGGAGATCTACCAGCATTATCTAGCCCCCGACCAAGACTAGTCTGGAAATCCAAAATGGTGGCTTTCTTGGACTTGGCCAGGTTGAACAGTGGAAGGTTACACTGATGCCTACGTGATTGACAAGTGGACTTTTGGCTTAGCTGGTCATGAGAACATAATTATTAACTGGCCTTCTTTGAAAACCCCACCCTCTTTTCTCCTCCTCTCCTTCACCAGGAGTCTCCCACGCTGGAAAGAACTTGCTGGCTACAAGCTACAGTTTCCAAGCATTAATTCCTTGTACACCCAATTATTTCCTTCCTGGCCAAAGAAAATGAAACGGTGGTACGTGTGTTAAAGCCCAAACCACATAAAATGAATTACCTGTATTCACATACCACGTTGAGCCATAAAGTAGCCACGTGCTGTTTAATCTTACGCACTTGGACCAGTTGGTATGCTGATGGTTCAGTGCTTCATGTGAACCCAGGAAATGGGTTAATTCAATCATTAAGCATGTTAACGATTGAATTAAGCATGTTTTCTGAACGCAGCCTCAGTTATACTGGCTTTGCCTCCAAGAACTGGGGAATTCTGGGAGCTGAAGTCCAGACATCTTAAAGTTGCCGAGGTGGAGAAACACTTCCGTAGACCATAGTTTGGTTAATTGTAGGATAATGTGATGGAGCCCGTTCAAGTTACAAAGATTTAATAATTGACAAGCTACAATGCTTGGACAGAACTAACCAGCTGGATTTGTTCTTTATGTTATGATGTGGTGTGCTTTAACGGTGATTTCTGTAAGCCGCTATGGCTTGGGTTCACACATTGCATTAACCATTTTTTTCTGGATCCACTTAACACACTGTCTCCAACAGGCAAAGCCAGTTAGGATTGAGGGCAATGTGTGAACTCAATCCCTGCGCACTGGAGAGTTGCAGAATTTTCCATCTCAGGGAGACACTTGGATATTATAAGCATTCCTTGCCAAAATCTTTGGAGCGGATGGGCTGGGTCTGTACAGGGACTGAGCCAGCAAAAAGGATGGGAAGTTTCTGGTTCATCGTGTTGTGGGAACCCAGGCCATCACATTTAGTCATAAAGCACTTTATTTGGGGAGGCATAATAAGTCCTGCAAATGTAGGAATTCTATTTTGTTAATCTAGGCGTAAGATGTTGCATGAACCCACCGATTTTGTCCCTATAGAAAAATAATCATTGCTTTGCCCCTTCCCACCCACTTGGACCCAGGATAGCAGATGAGGGTTAGCAAAACCTCCACCAGGCCGCTTTCCTCCCTATATTTTCCCCATGCCAGATTGGCATATGCCCTCAAAATAGCGAAGGTAAAATTTCCATGATGTTCCACTCAACTCTTGGGGAGTTTTAGTGGATGTGTTGATATGCAAGTGGTTTCCCCTTGTCTCCTGGGATGTGTTTTCAACTTCCCAGTCTAGCCCACCGTCCTGAGATTTCCTAGTGGTCTCTCATCCAGGCCTTGACCCTCCCTTGTTGAGATTTATTCAGCAATAGGAAAGGCGGCGCGCCACCTGTGCGGAGCCATGAGGACAATGCAGGACTGCATGGCAGGTTTGTGGAACAGGCTACTCAACGTTTTCTCCTTCTTTGTAGGGCAGTCGGAGGGAGCTTGGTGGGAGCGGTTGCTTGAAGGCGAGAGGGGGGAACCACGTGAAGATGCTACGGAGGTGAGCTGAGGGCAGCTCTCTGTCTACGAAGGCCAGCCAAGGGGGATCCGTGCCGCGGACAACTGGATTTTGTCTTCCTGACTGGGGCAGTTGGGGGTAATGGAACCTGATGCTGGTGGGTTGAAAGCCCCACTTACAAGCGGGGCTCTGCCGTATGGACTCGGAGGAGACTGAGCCGGATGGAAGCTGTCCCTGCGTTGGATTGCGACCAGGAACCGGGGCTGCAACAGAGGGACTACGTAGCCCTGCCACGGACTTTGGTTGAGCCTCTAAGAGACCTTCGCCTGTTCCGGGGAGGGTGGCCGGAGCAGGAGGCCGGAGCCGGCCGGGGGGACAGGAAAAGTGCCAGCACTCCTGGCTTGGATCTCTAGCCTCTCTTTGAAAGGACAGTCTTGAGACCGAGCTCCAGATGTTCGCTCTGCAACTTCCAACATTCTCTGAAGCCGTTCCCCGAACCCCCCAGCTGCTGGCCATGCTGACTGAGGGATTCTTGGAACGGGAGTTTGTAGGAGGAGAGCTGAGTTGATCTACGGTGGCAAAAAATCAGGAGTTGGGCAGCAGTTTCCCGACGAACACGCTTTATTCAAAGGCTTTCGTTGCAAAAGGGCTTCTGCCGTCAAATAAAACGCGTTCGTCGGGAAAAGCCCTGCCAGATTCCTTCTGATAGTTTGGATCTGGAGTTGCAAGACCCGCAAAAGACGAAGGGAAAGTTGGAAAAGGGCTGGGCTGGAAGACTGAACTCTATTGCTAATCTATGAGGTCACCGTTGTAATGTTATTTCCTTATTCAGCGGGCTTAAAAATAAAGATTTTTTTTTTCCCCTCTCATCCCTGTGTGATTCTTCATCATTTCCCCTTGTTTGTTCTCAGTCCTTCTCCGGCAGGACAATGCAACCCCGTATCCTTACATGGAGAAACGTTCCAGGGAGATAAGGGAGTAGGTTGGCCTGTTATTTCTGGGAGAAAGGAGGTGAAAACAGAAGGCTATTTTATACCATCTTTGTTAACAGAGGAATAGCTCTGAAAACCAGCTTAGACACTTTAGCTCTTTTGTCTAGGCCAGTGTTTTTCAAACTCAGCAACTTGAAGATGTGTGGACTTCAACTCAGAAGTCCACACATCTTCAAGTTGCTGAGTTTGAAAAACACTGGCCTAGGAAAGGGCTCTTGAATGCTTCCATCCAGGTCACCTGCCTCTACAGATTTATGATGGTTTATGACGCACTGCGTTGTGCAAACCCAGAACATGCATTTATTCATTACTGCAGTGAAGCCTGCCGTGCACATGCAGCCAGAATACCTGACCTGTGGAACATCCTGATCCAAGGGCTGCTGATGTCTGCCCACGTTGGCAACTTGAAAAGGGGCCTTAGAAGAAGGATGGTGGATCTGTCTGATCAACTGGGTCACCCGATTGTAGTACCTTCTGGTCCAAGGGGGTTTGGACCACTGAAGTCCACATTTTGGGGTAATTTGAGAACATGGTCCTTTGCCTCTGTTTTTTTGGTGTGAGCTTTCCAGCAATGTTTTCTTGGCCTCACTTTTAACATTTTGCCTCTGCAACTACTGGTTTGAATTGCTTTAGAAATACAGATTGGAACTGTTGGGATTTCTTGCAAGCTGAGACTCTTGCAAGAAATCCCAACTGTTTCTGATTTTATCGGGTTACGCTTATTGCTGGCTCGAAAGCCTGCTTTTTGGTGGCCTAGATCCCTCCTTTCAACCATGCTTCCTTGTTTGTTAACGTTACTGAATAGCTAATTCAACCGTTTTATTTTCAGCATCGCAGGAGAAAAAATAGACCCACCAGGGAGATTTTCCAGCAGGAAATCCTTGAGGTGATGGGCCGTATTAGCAACCGCTCTGGATGATCTGCTTTCTTCCTCCGAGGAGCATGCAACGGCCAGTGTTTAAAGCTTGCAGTCAGGGAAGGAGCCAGGCTGGGGATCCATCTGGGAAAGGTGCAAGGAGGTGAGAGTAAGTGAGTAGCCCTGGATGACTCAGAAGTCCAGCTGTCCAGCCAGGAAGTTTGGATTCCTGTTTCAATCAACATACCCCGTCCCTTTTAGAGACTGGAGGTTTCCACAGCGTGGCTTGGAATCTTCCCTTTCCAGGCTCCACAGTAGATGTTCTCCAAGATGTTGGGGAGCCAAGAGGCTACGGCGTCTTGTGTGGGACAGGCAAAGACTGCGTGAGGGACGAGGGAGGTATCGTTCTGCTTCCATTCCATGTTTGCAAAAATGGCCTGGCCTGGCCTGTTTCCCTTTCCCCAAAGGTGTTTTTTCAAGGCACCCAAATAAACCAGTCTTGCATTGTTGTCCAATATAGCCATGTTTCTCAACCTGGCCAACTTTAAGATGGGTGGACTTCAACTCCCAGAATTCCCCAGCCAGCATGGCTGGCTGGGGAATTCTGGGAGTTGAAGTCCACCCATCTTAAAGTTGAGAAACACTGCAATGTAGGATGGATTATCTCTAGTATGTGCATACTGCCAACGCCGCACATTTACTGACCGTTTTGGAGATGGTTTTACACTGGTCAACCCCACGTTTTTAAATTAATAGATCATCTGCTGTTTATAGTTCTTACCTGGATTCAAAAGTGACGTGCTGTGATTCTGTCTTAACGAAGCTTTTGCTTACCTGTTGCAAGGTACCCCTCAAGTTTTCGAAGTACCCCCTAACTCAGTTTCCCAAGCATGTTTGCCTCCTGGTGTCTTCAAGGCAGAATATTATCTTTTAGCATCCTCTCCAGCAAAGAATGGCTTTCTCTCTTTTTACAACTCTGTTCCAGGATCACAGCTTTACAGAAGGGGGTGGGCATAACGTAACCTTCCCCTGATCGCATCATTAAGATACTTCTCCATCAAGGCACATCCAAATTTCCAAATCCCACAAAGGAGGACTTCGGCTGTTCTTTTCAGAGAGCTGAAAAATATTCCCTTTCGTATTTATTCTCATCTAATGTTACGGAATTATTCTTAATCAAACACATTTATGCTTGACCGATAGTTGCAAAGAGATACGCTGTCTTCTAATGTTTTTCTGTCAACCATCACTAGCCATGTATACATTCTTGACATAGATTAGTTAGATAAATTAGCACACTAAAATGGGAACATTCTGGGCATTTTCTTTTAAAAAATTTCGTTTTCTGGATATCTGTCACCGGGTTGATGGATTCACACATGCTTAACCAGGTCAGGTCATCTAGCAAACGCATTCACATAATAAGCTCAGGTTGGTTAGTGTTAAACTTGGTTGGCTTTTTCGTATCTTAGCATATTGTACAAACTGGGTTTGGTTCATGGTTGAATGCAGCAAGAAATAATTGAACTGAGTTGCCAGCTTCAGTATTCAGGGTCTGCAGCAAACTGTGATAGTGTCAGATTGATGACACACGTAATGATATAATCACTCAAGGTGATAAGTTACTCACATTGTTTATACTTGTGATGAAGGGGAAAGTCATTTCTTTATACATTGATTTTCTCTTACTTTACTATATTCTTATTTTTTCCTTCTTTTCTATTTTTCTTCCTATTTTTTCTTTTCTGCACTTTCTATTTTTTCTGTTTATTCTTTTTCTAGTTTGTGTTAGTTTTTATCTTTCTTGTTGTCATTTTTAATAAAGTTACTATAAAAATAGTGATGTAATCACTCCAATGCTGCAATAAGGGCTTGTATCAGGACATCTGATTATGTCATTCCTTGTATGTTACTTGCCCCCCACAGATGCCTGTGGATCACTTTATTCTCCTTCCTAATTCTGGATTCACTGATAGGTGGGGTTAGAGCAGTGTTTCTCAACCTTGGCTGCTTTCAGATGGGTGGACTCCAACTCCCAGAATTCCTCAGGCAGCCATGCTGGCTGGGGAATTCTGGGAGTTGGAGTCCATCCATCTTCAAGTGGCCAAGGTTGAGAAATATTGTGTTACACCCAGGAAGATTCATGCAACACACCAGAGTGTGTGGGTGTGTATGTAGCAAGTAAGGAAGATAATTTTGATGAAAATATGCAGGAGCCATTCCCTAGGAAAAAGGGGTTAAAACATCTTTAAGTCCAGAAGGAGATAACATTCAGAAGTGGATTGGGCAGACACTCTCCTAATTCAGAGGAATATAAGAAGGGGGAGGCAGTCCAGCACAGTCCAACTTGCAAGATTCTGTTATTATACCCAAACTCAATCAAAGTAGTTTTAGCCTTCTAGTGGGGTTGAGCTCCTGGTCTGGTCTACCTCATGGGGCTGACAGGTGCACGTAGGGTCAACATCGGAAAATGGCAGATAGCAGGTCACAATTCAACCCCATCCCACCATGACGCATACACAAAAAAGATGGGGTTGCATCGTGATGCTCTGCCTGCCATCTTGCCAATTTTGGCCCTCCTCCCCATTGATGCATGTCCTTCCCTTCCTTTCATTCAATCGATTTGATCAAATGCTATTTCCTAAGACGTTGTCAACTCACAACACTTCTGTCATTGATCAAGGGGATTTAAATGAATTTATATGTTTGCACACTCCCATCCAAGGGCCTTTTGTTGTCTTGCAGGCAATGGGCAAAATATCTTGGATGTATCTTCTGCTTGCTGGGTTGGCGTGAAGACAACGTGGCAGTTATTATATTTCATATTTTCAGTGTTGACTCCCTGACAAAATACTTTTGAGATTGACCAATAAATATTTGCTTAAAAATCTTAGCAGAAATCTTTTTAAGGATGGCCATACTACAAATGCAGTGAATCTTCTTGGATTAAATCCAGGTGTGCTCAAGAAGGCTGAACTCATTTCTACACCCAGTGCATTATTGGGGAATCTTGAAAGTCTGCCTTAGAGAAATTTATTTTATTATTTATTACATTTCTGTTTGCGTACCTGCTCAAGGCAGCTTATGATAATTAAAAAAAAAATACAATTGATGGTGGACTGTAAACACTTCCCGGGACCTGACCGTGCAGTGAATTTTTGAGGGTGACTTTTCCCTTCATGCATCTGACTCGCTGTTTCTAAAACACGACAATCAACCCTTGTGGTTTTTGTTGTATCGACATGGGAGACAAGGTGGGGTCAGACATTTTCCCCAGCCAAGCTTCATTTGCAAAATATAAAGTTATCATCAAGTTAAATTTCTTCCATTGGACTTATTGAATTTTTAACAGGTGTGGTCCAATAGCAGTTAAGCAGCTGATTTCTCGCAATCAGGAAATTCCTCTTGATTTCAAGTTTGGATCTCTCTGGGTAAAGCTTCCCCCCATTGATTCTTGCCCCACTTTTGGGCACTACAGAGAATGACTCCCCACCCTCTTCCCCATGACCGCCCTCCGAGATAGACAGACAGATGGACAGACTGACTGATACGGAACACCATTGTATCTGGGCTGCCAGGCACAGGACTCCAATGGAAGCCATCGAGGAAGAGCGATGCAAAAGGAGGAGGAGAGTGCAACGGTGGCTCCCCCACCAGGGAGGCTCCCCCACCAGTTGCCCCTGCCTCTCTCTTCCTTGTCTCTCTTCTCTCCTTGCTGCAAACTTTGGGCTGCAAACTTCTATATGGGCACCAGGTGGCAGGAAAGAGACTCGGGAAAACTGGACTAGCGGTCACGGCTGGCATTGCAGGGGAGAGATGCTAGGCCTAAGAGATACTTGAATGGCATCCGGAACCAGAACTGGCGATCGGATGACGTGTGCTGCCCTGAGAAGGTGGTCTGGGAGGAGAAGCAATACTTTGGGTGACCCAGAGGGTGACTGGAGGCTGTTGCAGGACTCTGGCCCCCTCCTGCTATGGCTGGTGATCCAGGGCATCGTGCAAATCCACCAGTGGATTCATT